AGAGAGAGAGAGAGAGAGAGAGAGAGAGAGAGAGAGATGCAGAGAGAGAGAGAGCAAATAAATATTATTTTATTTTATTTTAATAAAATGGAGTTGGATTGTACTTCGTGGTTATTGTGCGTTCATCATTTTGCACGTTGTTCATGACTTGAATGGTGTTCTTCTTTCTTTGTTTTTCGCATTCTTCTTTTTTTACTCCTTTGTCTCTCTCTATCTGTGTCTCCATATCTCTCTCCCTCCTCTCTCCCCCTCTCTCTCTCTCTTTCTCTCTCCCTTCCTCTGTCTCTCTATGCGTGTTCCATTTCTTGAATTCGTTAATAGTGCTGAAATTTAGCAGTTGGTTTGGGCCTAACCTTTTTTTTTTTTCTTTTTTTTTTTTTGCGGGTATTGCCCGCACCGCCCGCACCGCGGGGGCTTAGCTACTGAAGGGGCACGAATAGAGGGGACAAAACCACCACTGATAGAGGGGGCAGAACCACCACTACCTTTCACAGTGTAGTCCCATGCGGGAATATAACCTACACCGCATTCTTCCCGGACCAGGCCGCCTTTGGGGCACCTGTGATACATTTCAGGGGAAACTACACGGGAGTCACAAAAATGAGTTATACTTGCACTGTGGGCCTAGATACAATTTCAAAATACAGTTCAGGCATTGTAATACAATCCAGCTTTCTGGCCAAGTAGGGTGCCCGAAGTGCAATTGCAAACTGTAGCTTGCCCATACTAGTGCGCAATCATAACTTGTTTTTGTGACTCTACTGAAGTTACCCCTAAATTTAAACCACCAGTACCTTTCCCAGGCATTTTGCCGAGACGCCCAACGCCAAATGGCGGGGGCAGCTAGACGCGGCCGCAAAGCTTGGCGTGCCGGACCTGCCGCCGACATATGGGAAAGGTACTGGCCGTTTAGTAGGAATCCCAGATTCATCATCCTATCGAGGAGAACAAAGGAGAACTTGGGCTTTTTTTCTTCTTTTTTTTTAAGAGGTCTCCGATCAGTGCTAGGGATGCTGATAAGAGCAAGCACCACTAGGGGCACAGTTCCACTAGCAAAGGAGTAAGGTAAATTGTGTCCCACAAACACCTTTGGGACATCTGCGGGACATCGTCCGACCACTGATGCAGGAGAATCGGATGGCAGAGAAATTGCGAGGGATTTATATTCTGAAGTGGTATTGTTTTTTGTTTTTGTGCTTTTTCTTTCCAGTTCCCAAGAATCGGAGGTGGGAATATAAAACAAAAAGTCTTTTTTTTTTTTTTTTTTAGTTTTTTTTTTTTTGGAGAAACATAGGCTTTTCCATTCTAATGAGACAACCGGGGTCCGGGAACATAGCCCTACATATCAACCCGGTAGAAATCTGCTGAGGCCAATACTCAGCTTGGGCTCCTGGAAACCGGGTCCAGTGTCCCTTTAAAGAATCTCAACACCTCCCCGATTGATCCCTCATCATCGCTCGATCCCGTGCTTCTCTGCCCCATCGTCATCTCCCCCCACCCCGGCCATTCATTGCCCACCTGATCCGCCTACCATACACATCTCCCCCATCCCCCCCACTGTCACCCCTGACACCAAGTCCTCCAGCTCTGATCCGGCCCTGCGCTCGCGACGCCCGGGCATCATCCCTGTCTTCCCGCCACCCCACTCCACCATCTTCTTCCGTTCTCGTGCCGCTCCACCCCATCATCATCTCTCCCGGTCCCCCCACCCCGCCCCATCATCATCTCCCCTGATCCCCCGGGAGCCCGAGTGCTTGCTCCGGCCATTTATCCCCCCCCCACATCCCCCCGATTGATCCCCCCCCCTCATTTACCCCCCCCCCCACCCCCCCCCCCCGCCCCACCCCCCCCCCCCCCCCCCCCCCCCCCCCCCCCCCCCCCCCCCCCCCC